AGGCGTACGGCCCAAACCCATCATAATGTGTGCACTACCGAGGGTCGAACGACACGAACCATAGATACATCAATTACATTGCCAAGGCGAGCAACCCGCTCCCATGAGAGTGTGATACATAATCCTGTCGAGGTGAACAGCCCGATCCCATTATAATGTGTGCACTGTCGAGGGTCAAACGACACCAACCATAGATGTATCTATTATGCTGCTGAGGTGAACGAACTGATCTCATTAGAATAAGAAGCTTTAACGGATCCTTGACCCCACTCACGAATAGACGTGTAAGATATAAATTTTTTTAAGGAAAACGCATAGCACGGGAGAAATTCGTTAGAGGAGTACAATTATTCCGCAGCTAATCATGAAGCCCGTCAAATCTATACAATAGCAAGTCTATCACTCTACGCAAATCTAATCTCAAGTCATAACGTAAAATAAAGAAATTTAATAGGCAAGAGACAACTCAAATAGTACAGTTATAGCATGGCGGGAACCTAAGTCTACTCGGACATAACATGAATCTAGCTACGCACAAACTCTATATTGTTTGTTTTAATTAAATTAGAATGTTAACCTTTTTCTTCTTTTTCCATCATACATTTTAAGTAAAAACTAAACAGTATAAGCACATTATATAGCATAATTGTCCATAACAAAGAAAATGAATCAATATGGATATACTTACAAAATAAGAGAAGAGGATAAGAAAGAACAGAAATAGCCATCATAAAGTTGATTGATTATCTTTTACAAGTAAATATATAATTTATGTTGAAAAAATATAAAATAGTTGAAATTCTTCCTAATACGTATGAAAAAGACTACCATGAAGTGAGAAAAAACTTATGGAAATGGAAGGAATATTTTTTTTTTATATATTATAGCTTATTTTTAGTGATCACTATAATAACTAAATTAATTTCTTATTATATTATTACTTTAGACATTTAGAAATAAAAAGGTTAGCCACTAATGCTACCATTATAATAGAATAGTAAAAGAAAAAGTTGTAAATTTATTTTACGAGGAGCATGATTTTTATCATATTTTATTTTTATTGTAGATAGAAATATTATAAAGTCTTACCCTTTGATAAATGAAACTTCTTATTTCCTATAATTGTTGTAGAACTTGATTGAATAACGTGCAACTAAACGTGTTCGCACAAGAATTAGACTTTTTACTCTAAAAAAATGACAAATATTTTTTCGAACTTTTACAACATATGTTCACTGGCTCAATCCGTAATATTGAATTATTTGCCATAACATGATTTTCCACAAGGGTAGTAACAAAAGAGGGAATGTATACTTAGAACTTAAGAGGATATGATTCTAATCTTTTGTACCTCATAAAATAAATATAATATAATAAAAATAAAATTAACTAACCATAAATTTTATATGATTGACGGAGAATATCGTGCAAAGCATGTTTGTCCGGAGTTCTAGAGATATATTGGATATCAATGAACCGTTTGGTGAAAAATTAATGGTTTGGAAGGTGATTTCTGTCAAGTACTACCAGTAGTTCCAAAATCGACGAAAACAGAGACCGTAAAAGCTAGCTTGCCTAAATTATACTTATGACCTCAAATAAAAAAGATTCAATTAACAAGAAATATAAAGTAAGAACAGATCCAGTATGCTCTGACGCCACTCCAACACCTCAAACTGATGCCCGTTTCTCCAAATCTAGTCAAATAATGTACAAATCCATAAATATATACTCCATTACCCATAATTAATAAATTTATAACAATCCCCAACTCCGCTCGAAAAGTCGATAAAGTCAACCCTCGGGCTCACATTCCCGGATTCCGAAGAAAATCATTACCCATAACACCACGAACTCAAATACATAATTTATTCATAATTCCATGTCCAATTTCTTGGTTAAAATAAAAACAATAACCAAATTCTATGTTTCCTACCAAAATCTCACAATTTTCATAATTTTTCATGTATTTACAAGCCCACATTCGTATATTTATATCACAACTTATAGAAATTACTTACCTCATGATTGACGATGAAAATGACGCTCCAAATTGCTCCAAGGCCGGCTCTCATGGACGAAATGAAACTAAAATGAGCCAAACCCTCGCACTTAAATAAGTCCTCTGCCCAGCGATCATCGCACCTACGGCCACTTGACCACTTCTGCGGTTCCGCAGGTGCGGCCAAAAATTCTACTTCTGTGGTCCTCCTACAGCCCTCCTGCCTTCGCATCTGCGGACCAGATTCCGCTTCTGTGGAGTCGCACCTGCGACCAGGGATCCCCTTCTGCGGAAACAACGAATTCAAACCCCCTCGCACATGCGTACTCCTTTCCCGCATCTGCGATCTCACAAGTGCGGCACAAACCTCGCACTTGCGCATCCAACCAGCCTCACTCCCTACCGCTTCTGCGACTCCTGGGCCACTTCTGCGGTCTCGCACCTGCAGCCATAACCTCGCAGGTGCGATTGCACCAGAAGTCTTAAGCTTCAACAGTTCCTCCAAGTCCAAACTCGATCTGTTTCCAATCCGATTGGCACCCGAGGCCTCCGGGACCCCGTCCAAACATACCAACACATCCCACAACACGATACGGACTTAGTCGAAAGCTCGAATCACGTCAAACAACATCAAAATTACAAATCGACAGCCAAAACCTTTCTTTCAACTTTCCAACCTTCAAACTATGCCGAACGCGTCCGAATTACACTTAAACATCCATGAATGACGCCAAACTTTACGTGCAAGTCACAAATCATGATACGAACCTATTCCAAGACTCGGAACTTCGAACGAACATCGATAACACCAAATTTCATTTCAAATCAAACTTAAGAATTTCTTAAACTTTCAAAATGTCAACCTTCCATAATAGGCGCCGAAATGCTCCTTGACCACCCGGTACTCAACCCGGATATACGCCCAAGTCCAAAATTATTATACAAACCTATTGGAACCTTCAAATCTCGATTCTAAGGTCGTTTACTCAAAAGTCAAACTTTCGTCAATTCTGACAACATAAAACTTTCGAATTTAGAATTTTCTATCCGAATCAATTTCGAACTTCGTGAAATTCAATTCCGACCACACGTACAAGTCATAATACCTAAAGTAAAGCTACTCAAGGCCTCAAACCGCCGAACGACGCGCTAGAGCTCAAAACGCCCAGTCGGGTCGTTACATCGGTCGTATTTCATATTTCATACTCACCTCTTTAACTTTCAAGTGTTACCGTAGATTATTATCAATAAGAGAATTTTTAAGTCACGACTTTAAGTACACATATGGGCAAACAAGAGTCTTAGGAACATTGGGTTTCTCTACCACGATTAAGCATGCTAGCTTGCAATTGAAACATGGTTTTTAAATCACAATACTTTTGATACATTGATCCTACTAGATTACATTCTCGGAGGGAATCATGATATGATAGGAACATTTGGAGCACATTTTGGGTACATACATCTTTCAACACAACACTCATTTTAAAATAATCAAATCTTTTAGGAAAGGCTCGGAACATGAGACATAAGAAATTAAGCCAATCACGATCACAATTTACTAGGACATCATGGAAGTTGATTCTATAAGAGGAGTTTATCCAACATATCTCGCTTTGAGTTTCCTTAAATTACTACAATGTTCCGGAAATCTTAACAACTTCGATCTATTTAGAAACATAACAAAATTGAACACAAATTATGAGGGTATTCATGGTTTCAGCTTATTTGAGCATTTTATCAAACACTAGGTATGCATTATGATTTCAAGGCCCTCCTATGGTAGATTCCTTCATCCCACAACCCAAAGTCAACCCATTCGAGCTCAACAACCTTCCCGCAAACCTTGATAGCACATACATGCATAAATAGCACTCTCACACCCAAGAATTAAACTCCCTATTAACCATCTTCTACCCCCAATTCGAAATTGAAACTAGGATATGGAACATTACCTCTTGGATGAAGAACTTGTGAGTTGTCCTTCTGGATTCTCCAACTTTTGAGCAAGGATTGATGAGAAATTAGCTTAGGAACTCCCCCTCACTCTAGAGCATTTCCTCACTCTAAAATATTATATTTTTACCTTATAAATGGTCCTTAACGTCTATATATTGAAATAGGGTCAGTTATAAAAACAAAAAAATAAACTCTCCGAACACAGCTCTGCGGTCGCAGAGTAGACCGCAGGTTAGGTGCGGCCCGCAAAATGGACCACAAAAAAGGTCCCAAAAACTGGGGTGGTCTGGTCCAATCTGCGGCTAAGTCTGCGGCCCGCATATCAATTGTGCGACTGCAGAATGGACTGCAAAATCTCCCTCCGAAAATCTTCATGTTGATTATGCGACGGATGTGCGGCCCACGAAACGATTATGCGGTCGCATAGTTGACCGCAAAATAACTTCCAAAATTGGCTCATTTCTCTGCTTCACTCTGCGGCGGATCTGCGATCGCATAGCGGACCTGCAATAATTTTTTCTTCAACTCTACAACGCTCCGCTCAACCTAAAAAGTCTGTACTGCAGTGAGATATTTTTACGGGGTCTTACAGATTATTTCTACAACCCTCAAATACATTAGCCTACCTCGACATCACGAAACTTCGGATTTTAGGTGAAATTTTTACGGGCCTTACAGATTATTACCTAAACATGATATTCTAAGCGTAGTTAATCTAGCACATACAAGTGAGCCTAAGCTAAGCACATAAATAAAAATAAATGCGACATCTACTAGAACTTTACTATACTATTTTCTTTTTAGTTTGTTCCCAAAAGAATGACCCTTTCTAAATTTAAAAATAATTTAGTATAAACTTACAATTCTACTCTTAATGAAAAACTTTTATAATCACACAAATACTCTGAGCCCCTTTTTGATTTGTTTAGGACCACAAATTCCAAAAGTCTTCCTTTTTTTCTTAAACTCTATGTCAGTCAAATAGGTTCACATAAATTGGAACGGAGGGAGTGATATAATAACATAAAGTAAAAATGAATTAAATGACATGTTTTTTAAATGATTTTTGTTTATAAATGTTTTTTTTGCAAAAATTGTTCTTGAATATAGTTTTTGAAAAATGGTTTAAAAATAATATAGGAGGCTCAGATATATGTAATATCCGATATTCGTCTAGACATACCAACGGAAACTGCCTCGGTAGCAACTCCGATGGCCAACCGTGTCGCCTCACATAGATTGTCGGTTCGTGTTCTCGTCTTTTTTTCTTTCCCGATGTTAATCACCATCGCCCCGTTATTTCGGGCCCAGTCAAAGAGTCAAACGGCGCGTCGTGTCCTCAAAAAATTATTCTCATCGGACTAATGTCCAATAATGTAGTTGATCCTTCAAATTAGCCATGCCAACAGTAAGAGCAAAGAACAAAACGATCTCACAACCACGAATGTATCTCATCCAATATTTTCTCAGCTGATTAACATCAACAAAAGGGAGTAACGATCAGTACAGGGTTCAAACAAAAAAGCAACAGAAAGTTTCAGCACCAATAATAACATTGACAAAGTCACGGCCTCATAAAACCAAACGAGAGGCTAAAGAGAAGTCCCAGTAGTCCAACATATCAGCAGAATAAAATAGATTATTAAGAGGGACAAAGTTAGTCATAACAGCAGCAAAAATACTACACCAAACGAGCGGCCATCACCAAAGATGTTGATAAAACAGAAAAGAGGAGCTTTGCCGGAGTTCATGATGTCGCCGGAAAATTAATTCTGGCTAGTTTTATTTGCACCACAAAAAGAATAAAGTTTTCGATCATATTTTATAGATCTGCTTTTATTAATACTGGGTTTACATAACCATATAACAGAGAAGTAAGAGAGTCACCGGAAAGCTAAAAACCGGCCAGATCTGATTCGCCCGACGGGTTTCAAACCTGCAAAATTAACGAGCCATTAGAACAGACAAGGAAAAGGAAGTGAAGAACACGGCAGTGGGGTTTGTCATGGTTGAACGACAGCCGCCGGTCATCACTTCCGGTAGAAAATGAGAGGGAGAGAGAGAGAGGCGAGGGGAAGAAGGAGAGGTCGCCGCCTGGCTGGTCACCACCTCCAGCGGCGGCAACTGGTGGTCGGCGAAATGGCAGAGACGAAAAGAGGGAAGCTTGGGCGGCTGGAACTTAGAGAAAAATGAGGAAGGGGTGCCTTCTCTAGGTTTTTTTAAATCCTTATAAAATGTAAATATCTGATGTGGGGGTGATCTTTCGGTAGTGTAGGGGGCATTTTTATGTATTGAGTGGTAGTTTGGTAGCTTGATAGGAGAAACGTTATCTATGTATTGGGGGCAAAATAACTTAGCCATTAGTTATTTTGTACAATTTTTTAGGATAACTAATATCATATTTGGTTGTCATTTTATAATTCTATATAAATAATATATGTATAAATGATGAGTCAATCTGTGTATTATTTTATGCGGGGTAGACGATAAAATAACTAATATATGTATTAGTAATACATGGATAAAATATTGAAATGACAAATTTACCCCAATTATTTTACACATATAGGCTTCCTTCTATAGATTGATTTGTATCAAACCCTTTGGAGAACAAGCATGAAGATACTGATGCCTCACTGCTAGGCTTTTTCTTTTCTCAATCTATTAGAGACAAAATTAGTAAATAATTATTTTACTTTAAATTTTTTATAATGTATATCAATTTCTAATACAACAAATCAAATATTAAAAAATAAATCACTGCGTAATTAATCCATGTATAACTAATACCTGCATAACTAATCCATGCATTACTTATTCCTGCATAACTAATACATGCATAACTAATACATGTATAACTAAAACTTGCATAACTCTAACCGGCAACCACGATGTCTTGTCACATCACGTGTGTTATCACGTCAGATGTCATGTCGCGTCAATGTCTTGTCAGATCAGATGTTAACGGGACATTTAATTTCACCAGACTTGATCCGTATTCTGAAATTAATTCTACTCGCTTCTATGCGATTAGTAGATTGTGCTGCATTGAAGGATGATTATTTAATTTCAAAATACGACTCGTAATATTAATTAAAATGCCAAATACTACAATAATATGTAGTAATTATTATTTTATTTTTTGAAAAGACAATAAATTAAAATAATATCCTAATGTTTGAAAAAATAAGACAATTATCAATGAATTGTTTGAAATTTATAAAAATTCACAAAAACTACAGTATTTAACTAATTGCAATAAAACGATAAAAATTTTCATATTGTGTAAAAATAGGAGTAATTATCAATAAATTGCATTTAAGTTAAATAATGCGCAAAAACAGCATTTTTGAATAATTGCAATAAAATGATCGAAATTCTCATATTTTGTAAAAATAAATAATTATCAATAAATTGTATTAACGCTAAATAATGTGTAAAAATTATATTTTTATCAATTTTTGATAAGGAAGCTTGTAGAATTTAATTTTTAAATTCGGAAGGTCAAAATTGACTGTCAACACCTTCAACTGCCTAGATGCGTAGGTAGTCACCCTACCGTCTTGCATCAACACCGTGCCAAGGCCAACACGTGATGCATCACAATACACAGTGTAAGACCCCGAACCTATAGGGAACACCAACACTAGGGTTATAGTCAAAGCAGTCTTGAGCTTTGAAAGCTCTCCTCACACTCCTCGGACCATCTGAAAGGACCACCCTTTTGGGTCAATCTGGTCATAGGTACAGCAATGGATGAGAAACCCTCTACGAAACGTCGATAATATTCGGCCAACCCAAGAAAACTCCGAATCTTAGTAGCTGAAGACGGTCTGAGCCAACTCTGCACTCCTTCAACCTTCTTTGGATCTACCCTGATCCCCTCCCTCGACACCACATGACCCCAAAAATGCCACCGAATTAAGCCAGAATTCACACTTGGAGAATATTGCATACAACTTCTTTTCTCTCAAGTTCTGGAGCACAATCCTCAAATACTGCTCATGATCCTCCCAGCTGTGGGAGTACACCAAGATGTTGTCAATAAACACAATGACGAATGAATCAAGATATGGCTGGAATACACTGTTCATCAAGATAGCCAAATGACATCGCAAGGAACTCGTGGTGACCATACCGAGTCCTAAAAGCAGTCTTCAAAATATCCGGATCTCGAATCTTCAGCTGATGATACCCTGACCGCAAATCAATCTTTGAGAACACTCTAGCACCCTGTAACTGATCAAATAAGTCATCAATGCGCGGTAGTAAGTACTTGTTCTTCACTGTAACCATGTTCAACTACCGATAATCAATACACATGCGCATATAACTATCCTTCTTCTTCGCACACAAAATCGGAACACCCCAAGGTGATATACTAGGCCGAATGAAACCCTTATCAAGCAACTCTTGAAACTGCTCCTTTAACTCCTTCAACTCTGTTGGGCCATACGATATGGTGGAATAAAAATGGGCTGAGTGCCCGGCAACAAGTCAATACCAAAATAGATATCTCTATCGGGCGGCATGCCCGAAAGATTTGCCGGAAATACATATGGGAAGTCTCTCACTACCAGAATTGACTCAACGATAAGAGTATCAATACTAACATCTCTCACGAAGGCTAGGTATGCACCACACCCCTTCTCAACCATCCGTTGTGTCTTAAGGAGGGACACAACCCTGCTAGGAACATAATCCAAAGTACCCCTCCACTCCAACCGCGATAAACCTGGCATAGCCAATGTCACCATCTTGGCGTGACAATCCAGAATAGCATGATAGGGAGACAACCAGTCCATGCCTAAGATAATATCAAAGTCTACCATACTAAGCAACAATAGATCAACTCTGGTTTCAAATCCACCAATAACAACCAAACACGAGAACTCAAAAGATCATGGGATATACCCAAATACAGAGCAAAGAAGGATGATACATATTGGTAAGTGGAGCCTGGATCAAATAAAACTGATGCATCTCTATGAAAAATCGGAATAATACCTGTGATAACCGCGTCCGATGCAACAAAAAAAGTAGCCCGTAGGCTTTTAATAGTCGAGTGAATGATTCGAACTCGATGCAATGTAGCCCGTAGGCGTAATGGTCGAGTGAGTGCTTGCTCGAACTCGAAAAACGTAGCCTATAGGCTTAGCAGTTGAGTGAATGATTCGAACTCGGTGCAATGTAGCCTGTAGGCATAATGGTCGAAGTAGCCCGTAGGCTTAACAGTCGAGTGAATGATTCGAACTCGATGCAATGTAGCCCGTAGGCATAATTGGTCGAATTTAACTTGATTCTGTTTGTATAATAAATCTCCAAATAGAGGAATTTTCCTTGGATATAAGATGCCGATAAAGAAGAGAACTTTCTTCGCACGTTATTACACGTGTTCATTTTCCGCGCCTGGGTTCGAGCCAATCTACATGAGCATGGTTCGTTTCGACCATTTGGCTCTTACAATTTTTCCTATTGGGACCCTTTTGTGAAATAACTCTCTTGCATCTGAAATCGATGTATTTGAGGGCCTAATGCCCCCTCAGTATTCGAGGTCGATTGTAAAGAGGACTCGGATATTGTTGTAAGTGCAGCACGATCAATGGTTGCCTCATTAAAAACCTTACCGAAAAACCCATTTGGGATAAAACAGGTCTAAGGAAAAAAGAGTGCAACGCGTGCTTTCAAGCGAAAGATCTATCTTATCCCTCGTTCGGACTTCTGCAGGGGTCAGTTTTGAAATGTAAATGAATATGGAAAGGTCGTACCTTAGCAGTAGTACCGTTTTAGATGTGATACATTCCAGCTGCTTGATAGCTGTTTGCCGTTTTTAATGCCGAGCCTGTACAATCCTTTTCCGATGTTCTCGAGCACCTGATATGGTCCTTCCCAATTCGGTCCTAATTTTCCTTCGTTCGGATTTCGGGTATTGACGGTAACTTTTCTTAACACTAAGTCCCCGGGCTTGAAATGGCGGAGCTTAGTTCTTCAATTATAATATCTTTCGATTCGCTGCTTTTGGGCGGCCAATTAGACGAGAGCAACTTCTTATCTTTCGTCCGATAGTTCAAGGCTGGTATTCATAGCCTCGTTATTTGATTCTTCCATCGTGAATTGAAATCTGGCACTGGGTTCTCCAACTTCGACTGGTATCAATGCTTCGGGCCCATATACTAAGGAGAATGGGGTCACCCCCGTACTAGATTTTGACGTCGTCCGATATGCCCAAAGGACTTCTTGTAGGATTTCTCTCCATTTTTCTTTAGCGTCGTTCAACCTCTTTTTTAGGTTTTGAATGACAGTTTTGTTCGTTGATTCGGCCTGTCCATTCCCATTGGGGTGGTATGGCGTCGATAGTATCCTTTTTATTTTGTGGTCTTCGAGGAATCTTGTTACTTTGCTGCCATCGAATTGTTTTCCATTGCCGCATACTATTTCGGTAGGTATCCCGAATCGGCATATGATATGATCCCAAATAAAGTCTATAACTTCCTTTTCTCTTATTTTCTCGAACGCCTGCGCTTCAACCCATTTAGAAAAATAGTCAGTCATAAATAAAATTAATTTGGCTTTACCGGGGGTCGATGGCAGAGGGCCGATGATATCCATTCCCCATTTCATGAACGGCCATGGGGATAGGACTGAGTGGAGTTGCTCTCCGGGTTGATGGATCATTGGGGCAAACCTTTGACATTTGACACATTTACGAACAAATTCCTTTGCATCTTTGCCCATATCGATCCAATAATACCCTGCTCTGATTATTTTTCCAACTAATGTATCGGAACCGGAGTGATTCCTGCAAGTGCCCTCGTGCACTTCCCATAGGATATAATCGGTATCTCCCGGACCCAAGCATACTGCCAACGACCCATCGAATGTTCTTCGGTACAACGTTCCGTCCGAAGCCAACGTGAATCGAGCAACTTTAGTCCGTAGGGTTCTAGAATCTTTAGGGTCCGATGGGAGCTTTCCGCTATTTATGTATTCAATATACTTGTTTCTCTAATCTAGGTTAAGCTTGTAGAATTTATCTCGACGTGACCCTCTTCTATTACCAATCTCGAAAGTTGAACAACATTCCCCGAGCCCAAGTCATCTACCTCGACCGACGATCCCAAATTCGCAAGCGCATCAGCCTCATTATTCTATTCTCGTGGAATATACTGTAAAGTCCATTGTTTGAAATGGTGCAAAGTGACAAGCAGTTTGTCTAAATACCTTTACATTCTACCTTCTCGAACTTCGAAGGTTTTGTTTACATGACTCACCACCAGCAAAGAGTCACAATTGGCTTCAATGACTTCTGCTCCCAAG